TCGTCCTTCTCTATTGTCGAACCTCTTCCCGTCCGACTGTTTCATTGTACACAGATCAGTCGCCTGTATATAGGCTTCTGCTTCAATCAAGGCCTCTTGAAGAGTCGCCACCCTTTTTCGAACTAAATCAAATTTGAAGGTAGACCCGTCTTTGAGACCTCTAAAAAAGTCAGTATAAGCTACCTCATCCGGTAACCCTTGAATCTGTATTCTCATCAGGTTGAACCGCCTGATGTAGGAACGAAGCCCCTCCTTTTCACCCTGCTGAATTGTTCCCAAATCAAGGGTCGTTTTCTTCGCAGGGATGTTCATTGCAAAGTTGGAGGCAAATAAGTAAGCAAGCGTCCTGAAACTGTTTACACAACCAGTCGGCAGGTTGCCGAACCATTGCTGTGCAATTCCCTTGAGAGTTGCTGGGAAACACTTGCACCAAGTGGGATCATCCAACCCTTGAAGGTACATCAGGTTGGTGAATGCCATCAGATGGTCTTCCGGGTTAGTAGTGCCATCATAGGCGCCTACTAAAACATTTTTTACTTTGGCCGGCTGAGCGGCTTCAGTAATTTCCTTGGAGAAGGCCGACGGCTGTTCACCAAGTCTAAGCAGCCGTAGCTGCCAGTCCATAGGTTGGACGTTTTTTGCTGCAGGTCCACCAAATGGAGGTGGCTGCATAAAATATTGTTGTTGCGGCACAAATGGCAAATTTGGTACCGCCTGCGCACTATGAAAGCCAGACTGACGGGAGGTGCCGCCTGACTGACTCTCATGGTACGACTGAGTTGGCCTCATCGAGGCATTTCGCAAACTGTCCTGAAAATTTGAAGTAGAAGCCGACTCTGATAATCGGTCACTCTTCTTCTGCTCTAGCAGGTGCCGAGCATCTGTGAACGTTTGCTTTGACCCATCCGCCTGAATATGACGAACCGGTTTCCTATTTCCCGTAGGATAACGGAGTTTTGTGAAATCAAGAGCAGACGGCTCCCGCTTCTTAGATTTAGGATGGGGAGTCGCCTCTCGCCCTTGAACTGGCTTCCTCTTCAGTGAAGTGGAAGGTTTTTTGGCCGCCTGCTCTTTGACTGAAGCAGGCGGTTTTTTGTTGATCAACTCTTGGATCTCTCCCTTGAATCCCCTCATGAAGGTCATGAGTTCGTTCCTTGTGATGGGAGCAGACCCATCAGTCGGCTGTTGCCGAGCAAGCGGTGCGCCTGCTGGCTCGCTTCCTGTTTGAAGATACTCCCGTTCCCTTATTTCAGTATGACGGGTACGGCGGGCCCTTAGGGTCCCGTCTGGAGCTGTATGAGTTTCAACTTCAAATTCACTTTCGGTATCATGGTCCGACTGAACTTGAGGGTCATCTAGGGGACGCCTCTCTTCTGGGGTCGGTACAGACTTGGATGCCATCTCTGAAGTACTCTCCCCACAGACGGCGCCAAATGTTTCGGGGTTTTCTGATGTCCTGCGGGAGAGTTACAATTCCGAGACTGGAACCGGACGCCTGTACCTGCAAAATAACGGAGACTCCTGAGAGCTCCGCCTCCAACGGTCAAGTTAGTACCTGATTAAGGAGTAATTAATACAGAAATTAAAGTAATAAGGTCTCTCTAGGTGAGAGTATTTAATGTAGGTAATCTGCTTTGCTAGCGAGATCAGCCGGTTATTAGTGTGTTCCGTAAATTATTCGGTCCCCTGATTAATGAGGATTAATCGAGTATTTATAGCCTTGGGAAGCGTGCAACTCTCTAGGTTTAAGGTAAACCTAGGGCCGAACGGGCTTCTAGACTGAAATGGGCCTTGATGGCCGGTTGTCCCATTTGGCATGGGTGGACACGTGGCGTGTCTTAAGTGGTCCGTGTAGGACGCGTGGCGGAACCTGGTTGGTCCACTTGTCAAACGGCGCTTGGTGGATAAAAATCCCCTAATCAGTGGGGCTCATGTTGCATCCACACTTCAAGCTCAATGGGCTCTCATGTGAGGGGGCGTGATAGATTATAAAACTTATTTATGGGTTTCAACCATCATCTTAAACTTTTGGTTGAGTTGGTCCTCTAACAAGATGTATACAAGTTGACAACTTTGAAGAAAATAGCACACTGGTAGGAGAAGCTGGGGCGCTGGGCTCAACCTTTAGCAAAAATCTCGGCGAGCTAGAGTTGCAAACATTGCAGTAAAACCTGCAATTAGAAAGAGAGTCAAGCCACTGTCAACAAATGATAAACGAGCCTGGCCACACCCGTCACAAGTGTTCACTGTACAAGTACAAGAAGGTTCCACCTCAAAACCATATGACAATGAGGGGAGTAGCCCCTTAGCCTTATAAAGTAGACACAACATTCTTGTTTCTTCAATATGGGATACTTTCCAACACTTTCAATATGGAACAATACTTTCAGTCACATGTGGGTTTGCTCATGGGCTCAACACTCCCCCTCACATGTGAGTTGTCCATAATACTGGCCCAAATTACAACACAACCCAACCTGAGCTCTGATACCATGACAAATTAGGGTGAAGAGAGAATAGAATGGCTTATTATTATTGATCATCAATAGGCTATTTATAATAGCAACATAACATTCGTAAATACTCTAAACCCTAAACTTCCTTATAAGATAATATTTCAATTTCAATACTTAACCTAATTCTATGTATCTTAAAATATCACAAAAGATATATTATTTTCTCCTAAATAATATCATAAGATCTGTGAAAAATATATCACAATAATATATTTTCCTATATTCCTAACACCCTCCCGCAATCGTAACGGCAGTAACACGAAAGTTACGATTGGAAATTCCACTTTGTTGAAGTCGAGATGCATGTCGCCTTCATTTTTTTTTTTTCCTTCAATGATGAGAACATTCATCTTTTTCGAACTCATCAGTCAATCAAGCATGAACGTCATTCTTTTCGAACCTGCAAATATAACAATTTTGGTTTTTCCAGTGCAAAAACGAGCTCCAATCAAATATTGGTTTTTCAGAGTAAACCACACTCAAATCTCTTATTGGTTTTTCAGAGTAAACCACACTCAAATCTCTTATTGGTTTTTCAGAGTAAACCACACTCAAATCTCTTATTGGTTTTATTTTAGAGCAAAACCAAACTCATATCCAAAAGAGCAAAATCATGCTCGAATCAACTCACAAAAAATCACCCCATTCTTAAAGAGTGACAAAAGTCACGCATGTTGATGTAATTACATCAAGACATCACCATATTCACCAACAAATGCTTAAATTGCATTCACGTACTTGCGAAAATATTATATATATATATATATATATATATATATATATATATATATATATATATATAATCGGCAAGGGGAAAATTTTTGTGAACGGTCCCAAGATTTAACCTGCTCTTGATACCATGTTAAATTATGGGGAAAATATTTCTCTGTATTTTCTTTTTCCTTGTATTTTCCCATTTCTAATATATTCGGCCACATTATAATATATATAGACAATAGGAATACCTAACCCTAATATTCCTTAATATCTTAACTTCCTAAAATCTATCACAATATACCACATATATCTTTTCACAATAAGATCTCATATGATATTATTCTCATAATATCATATCACAATATACTCCTATCTCAATACCCTCCCTCAAGTCGGAGGTGTAGATCTCGAACGTCCGACTTGGACAATAAAAGAAAATCTTCATCTTGTTGTCATCATCAAGCTGCAATATGTAATCATTAAACGATCCTTCAAAAATCACCAAAAAAAATCTTCTTGAACTTGAATACTTGATCATGCGACGTTCTTGATCTTGATTTCTTTTATAATCAGCACAATAATATATTTTCCTATATTCCTAATAACAAACGATGGATTTTTTTTTCAACAACTGCTAAATGATATATTTATTATTTGAGCATACTCCGAATACAAGATCGATATTTAAATTTTAAACTAGACATATGGGCATGTGTTCACAGATCGATATATAATGTCTAGTAGGCAGTGGTCATGTTGAACATTTTATACACAGATCGAGCTTAGTTATACACTTAGCTATATGTTCATCAGTGTGTAACCAAAGAATATATCCTCTTTAAAGAATATATATCATAGTTGTCAAGTGATGATAAGATCAGTAACAGCTACAAGTACATCATTCACGAGCACTAAAAACACAAAGTTTCAGCACACTCGTTGCATAATGACCATGATTAAAACAAGTTTATAGAGAGTCGGAGATTCAAGAAATCCATAAATTAAATTCTAATTGTTCAATAACACTAATAATAATATTTTCAACATTTATAAAAGAAGAAAAACACAGAAATGAAAGGAGAAAAAAAAAAAAAAGAATCTTCCTACCTACCAGCAAGGTAACCCAATTTCTTCACTTGTAGTCTAGGGCTTTGCTTACCATTGGGCTTCGTTGCTTTCTTGGTCTTGGATTGAACCTAAAGCCTTACAAACTTACTGCATATTTAAGACACTCAATGATTAAAGCACTTGATGACAAGCACAAAATTTCATATATGAGCACCGTGTGGTCGGGGTTACTTATTCAGAGTTACTCAGCCGGTCAGGGGTTTCTTGGTCATGGCTTACTTATTCAATGGTTACTCTCATACAGAAAACGCACTAACCGACTGAGTAACCCCAAAATAAGTAACCCTTGATCAACTAAGTAACCCCTAAATAAGTAACCCCGGCCATACGGTGTGACCAGTCACACTGAAAAGCAGTTTCATGGCCTCACTCTATTTTTCCAACGGTGGAGATTCTGCTAGAGGTAGTCTTTTACAACGATATTTTACATTCTTTTATTTCTCACATCATTTTTTTAGGTAGTTTCTCATAAAATTTGGATTTTATTAGGAAATTTCCGACAAAAAAAAATCCTATTAGAAACTGTTTTCGGGATGAAAAAGAAAAAAAAATTTGAAAAATAAAAGCTAGCAATATTGACCGAAAAGATTGAAACGTGTTGAAAGCAACCAACCAAATAAAAGCAAATTGCTTTCTTTTTTATTATTTGGGTTGGGATACTTTAAAGTGTAAGAGAGTAAGATAATACAGGTAGGAGTCTCATTAGTTAGTGCAAATTAAAGGAAGTTAAAAATAAAGAATGCCATGTTCAAGAAAAGAAGCAGTTGTTAAGCTCTTCTACAATGTCACAACCATTGCAAAGTTCTTCTTTCTCTTCTTCTATCTCTTCTCTCTCTTTGTCGCAAAGATCTTCACTTACTTTTTCAGGTTATTAATTCCTCATTATTTACATTCAATTATACATAAAAAAAAATGAAAATGATTTAACATGTACTAACTGTAACGTTGTTAATCTAGCAGAACAGAAGATGATGATGAATACGAAGATGAGATGTTATATGAAGACGAAGACGAAGAAGAAGAGGAAATAACAACAACAACGGAGGTGGAAGACGAAGAAGATGAACTAGTACAAGAGTATATGCGGTATTCATATGTGGGTGAAGAAGATCATCTTGTTGCTCATGTAGTAAATGACGGCGAGGCCTTAGTTTTCGTTCCGAAAGATAGCTTGCATGATCATAGTAACTCCGATGAGAGCGTATTTCAAGATCCTGTTGAAGTTTTTAAGGAAGAGGTGTCCTGTTTTGAGAGCTCGTCTATTAGCTCTTCAGAATTCGATGGTGGTTGTAATAATGATGATATTGTTCAGAGCAATGCTTATGAGGTTGAAAATGAAGATTATGCATTAGATTACGACAAATCCAATTATTTGAATGATCAAATAATCTCTGGTTTCCGAGAAGAAGATGAGAGCAACATCAAAAATGACCAAATCTACGAGGACTTTCGTCGAAAATCTCCAATTGAGCTTTTGAAATATGGCTTCGAGGAGAATAATAATGATGCCACTGATAATAAAAATCATGGTATGTATATATGTTCTCTGTCCCTTATGTATGTTTTTGCACGGTCCCTAGCGTATAGACTAAATTTGATTATTAATATTTTTGGTTGCGTATAAATAAGATTGTTTAATTTGTGTATATGTTCTCTATCCCTTATGTTTGTTTTTGCACAATCCCTAACCTATAGTCTAAATTTGATTATTAGTATTTTTGGTTGCGTATAATTAAGATTGTTTAATTTGACTGTCCTCGATCTTGTAGGAGAAAAGAGTGAAGAGAAAATTGAAGTAGCAAAAAAGGAAGACGCGAATTTCACAAGGGATGACAAATTTCTAATATTCGCCCCACCAAAATCCGATTCAAAGAAAATGAACGTAGACATGGAAAAAGAGAAAGAGAGGATGTTCGAGGACACGTACACGATTGGATCAACCTCTAAGAGTTCCTCCGAATGGAGAAGTTCAATAAGGGATTCGTGTACAGATGATCCCTTCTCTTCCTCGTCTAGGAGGAGCTGCCCTAAATGGGAGTCTTATGCCGTGTATCAAAAATATGATGAGGAGATGATGTTTCTCGACAGAATTAGCGCACAAAAGCTTCATGAAACTGGTATGTTATACATCAATAGTTGTTATTACGTACCAACATAATTTACTCCATTGTAGTTTAATTTTGATGGATCTATTTAATTAATTTTTTTTTTTTTTTTTTTTTTTTTTGGTGAGAATTTATATTTTTATCCCAATTCTAAAATCCTAATTTATTTTGTGAGCAAGTAATTGTTTGTCAAGCATACTCCTCTAGTAAAAATTAAGATATCTATTGATTAGCGTGAGATTGGTATAATTGTTATAAATGTACTTCATATTTTATATAAGATCCACCCGATTCCTTATTACAAGGGATTATGTCTAAAAGGTGGTTATAATGGTACCACATAGATTCTCCTATATTGAGTAACTTGCATTTTAAAACGAAAGAAAATGACCATTTTACCCACATTACTTCTAAGTTAAGCATTGAACTACCAAAGCATTACAATAGTTTCGTCAACTTGGAACTTGTTCCCTTCCCTTCAAATAAGATGATTTGATCTGAATATTTTAAGATATAGTCTAGTATTTTAATAAGTCTATCTAATATGATGTGAATATTTCTGGTCTAATTTGAACAAAAATCTGAAATAATAAGTATATATTTGAAATAATAAGCTGAAGAGAACAAGTTCTTGCTTAATTGATTAATTTTACAATTGATTGTGTAGAATCATTGAAGTCATTCCAAGTGGAACCAAGATCAATATCCCAAAGAATTGTACACAAACTTGGTAACAAGAAGAAGCCAAGTTCAGGCGACGAAATCTACAAGAACAACCCTTATAATGAACTAGAGGTTGCATATGTTGCTCAAATATGTTTAACGTGGGAGGCGCTTAACTGGAACTACGTAACCTTCAAGCGGAAGCTCGTGTCGAAAACCGAACTAGTAGACCCTGGTTGCCCGGCTTATATTGCACAGCAATTCCAGCAATTTCAAGTACTTCTTCAAAGGTACAATGAAAATGAGCCTTATCAACGCGGTAAAAGGCCAGAAATTTATGCGCGAATGAGGGGCCATGCTCCTAAATTGCTTCAAGTACCTGAATATCATGGTGAGTTTCATTTTTAATTTTTCAAAAACTTTTAATCTTGGAACCAAATTTACATGACTTGTATGGCTTGACTAACAATTTTTAAGGAAAACATTAGCGTAACATCTAATAATTGAGAGTGAGCGAGAGATACCTCAAGTGGTTAGAGCTTCCCTTCTAGTGTTACTTGTTGGTTACTTGCCTTTTTGTGTTATTCTAGTTAAATTTGAGTACAAGGTAATAATGAAGAATCTTGATAATTTAGTGCACGGTCGATCTTAATAAAGTTTACTTCATAATAATGCGTGAGAATTAGCCTAATCATAACCAATCATTGGTTCAACACATTGATATATCCTATTGTTATTCAAGAGTACATGAATCATATATTATGAAATCATAATGCAAAATGTGCCAAGAGTTCAACCAAAGAAAAGGTTTCGTGTATTTTTAGTTTTGTACTAGCCGAGGTACAATTCTTTAGCCATATTAGTTGCTTGTCGTCTTTTAGAAAATTGAGAATTTATGACGAAACAGATAGCAAGTTGTTCAAACGGTCTAACAATTTTATGTAGTTATGTCCATTATGAACCCGAATATATTATTGCTTCTTACAGAGTAGTTCTTACATCATTAAATTGTTCAAATTACAGATTATGAAGGAGAAGAAAAGGAATTAAGTGGAGGAAGAATAGCATCAACATTGTTCCTTGAGATACTAGAAGATTCAATTCAAACATTTATGAACTTTCTTAAAGCAGATAGAGAGAGTCATTGTCAAGTTATCACTTCTTTTTTTAAAATACGTCCAAGAGGATCAATCGATCCTACCGTTCTCAAAGTGTTCAAGAAATGCAACAAAAAGGTCAGCTCAAGCATCAATATATATATGTCAATAACATATATCTATTTTTTAATAATTTCGTTAAAATTTATTTAAAGATATTAATGACTAAAATTGTGCATTCACTCATGTATTAGTGAAAGTGTGAAACTGTTACACTTATTCAAATACAGATGAATATCTCTTATTAAATTTTATAATGTTTGTTCATACACTTTTTATAAAATAATGATGCATATACGTAACATATTCTAATATATTGTGAATGTATATTTGCAGAAGAAGCTGAAGCTGAATGAATTACAACGTTCGTGTATATGCTTCAAAAAGAGGAATCTAACAAGGGAAGAAGAAATGGAGATTTTGATGAGTTTAATCGATTTAAAAGTGGTATCAAGAGTTTTAAGAATGGCAGAAATAACACAAGAACAATTACATTGGTGTGAAGATAAGATGGGCAAAATAAGAATTTTTGAAGGGAAGAAATTACAAAGAGATTCCTCCCCTCTTTTCTTTCCTGCTCATTGACCCAATTTAAATAAAATAACATGCTTTTGCTTTGGTGACTAGACTTTGCATCTTCATTGAATATATGAATATCCCTTTGGAAGTCCCATTTGCTTTTGGGTTTATCATACAGGTTATTTACCATAAATAAATTATGGGGCTGCCAAACACGTTAAACTTTTGACACATACATACAAAGACCTGATCAAGTGTGGCCCGACCCAACCCGATTTTTGTTTGGCCGGGTTTGAAAATGCGTTTTTATGCATATTTAGTTGATTTTTTAGGTCCGACACTCCGACTCGAAAAGCCCGCACGGCCCAACCATTTTGGACAGGTTTGGACACAAAAATTCCGGCCCGAAAAGTGGGCATAATGTTTTAACTCCAACCTGGCCGGCCCGACGTTTGATCAGGTCTACATACAATATAGTAAGTTTGGAAAAGCGTTATCTCCACTGACGTGTGTAATTGACACACTTATCTGTAATCAGTACCCTATATAGGTGGAAATAAAAATCTAGTTTAACCCCTTGTACTTTCTAAAAAAATTATTTTTAGGGTAACGTTATACTCTGTATATAGTCTTTACTAAGAATAAGCGTTGTATAAATTTTCTAGTTTGGCATTAATTTAAGAATGTATGTCAAAATCACGCGCAAATTATTGTAATTTAATGTTGTATTTTTTTCATTTTTAACGTCTTATATGTAGTCCTAAAGGTTGTGTACTTATGTATATCAATTTCCTTATTTGTATTTGTAATTTTTTTTTGTTTGTGGTCCACAATATAGACTTTTTTTTAAAAATGGAATAGGGAGGGATGATTTTAATAAATAATAATAGTCATTCGTCACTTACAATCATCCCTTAAGAGATCTAAATTTTCAATACAAAGATTAAATACCCCTAAACTAATGGCATCGCTTCTGAACTGTTCCTGAATAATTTTAGATGTATTTGCATCGTTATTGACGAAGCTCCATTGATGTATAGTAGTAAAAGTGATAAAACTTAATTGACCATCAAGATCTGCAAATTTGCAAAACGAATCTTCTAAATCTGCACCCCTATACCAACAGACCCACAATTCCACAAATTTACAAGATGAATCTTCCAAATATGTATCTCTGCACACACAAAAAACAAACAAACAAATAATACTAAACCCTACATGGAGGGATTAGGATTGACTATAATCACCATATTGTTGGTGATCTTTATTGGCTAAAAACAATAAATTGAAGAAGAATTTGGGGCTTACTATCGATAAAAATCGATGGCACCCCCTAAGTTTTACTATGATAGCTAGGTTTGAAGAGAGAGAATAGAGAAGTTTTTAGGGTTTTTTTTGGTCCACAATAGGTGATAAACCTTTAAAAGGAATTTTCTTGAATATCCTTACTGAATAACCCTTTTTTGTAAGGAAAAAAAAAAGGAGAAAGTGGAGTAATATATTAAGGGATCCTTCGTGCGTGCATGCCCACAAATCAAAGGGAAAAATAAATGAAGTGGATGAGATGACCAAAAAAGATTTGAAGGAATCTAAAAAAGATAGAAGAGTCGGAGTATAACTTTGTTTTGGGCTCCTTGATGATGTTCTTAACGTGGAAAGTGAATGAACATGCAAAGAGACAAGTATTGCTTTAGCTTTAGCTTTAACTTTTTTTCATAAGGATTGTTTGTTACATTTTGGATTTGTGAAATAAAAGGTTGTTGCATGTAGAGTAGTGGGAATAAATAGGTTGCTCGTGTTACACTCAAACATTAACAACCCTTTCCTTACAAACTCTTAAATAAACCTGCTAAACTTAGTACTGTCAAAAAAAACCGAACCAAACCAGTTAAACCGAACCGATTCAAACCGATCCGAATGAGAACCGAACCGCTTAAAAATCGATTTTTTGAAACCGAAAATCAACCCGAACCGCATTTTAGTAAACCCGAAACCGAACCGATCCGAGTAACATTAAACCATTTAAGAACCGAACCAAATCTAAACCGAACTGAAAGGAAACCGAACCGAAAATGAACCGAACCGTTTCTAACCCGAAACCGTTTGAACTGGCATAAAACCGTTTACATCGAACCGTTAACAAACTGCAAACCGTTTTCACCGAACCGTTTATAAACCGAACCATTTATAAACCGAATCGCTTATAAACCGAACTGTTTATGAACCGAATTGCTTATAAATCGAACCGTTTACAAACCACTTACAACAACTCATCAAATCATGATTATGACACTATTAACTAAATGATCAAAAAAGAAGCAGATAATAATCTGATAGTAAAACAATAATACATTAATGCACTAAACTTTTATAATCTACTTCGTAATAAACTCGTAAGATCAGTATGGCTAAACTTGAAATATAACATGATATGTATTTATAAAATTAATGAGAATTTGCATATAATATGATGCCTCAATATGAAGTGATGAAGTCTCAGCTTGATATAAAAACTTGTTAACCAACAAAAAGTTAGAAAGTAGTATAAAATTTCAAACCAAAACTGTTTAATTGTCCGAATCCAAACGACTCGATAAAAAACCGACTTTTTGAAATCAAAAACAGACCTGAACCATAATTTAGTAAGCCTGAAATAAAACCGATCCAAATAATGTTAAATCGTAGAAGAACCGAACCCGTTAACGACCCGAACTAAAATAAAACTGAACCAAAAAAGAACTGAACCGTTTCTAACCCGAAACTGTTTGAACCGGGATAAAAACCGTTTACACCAAACCGTTAACAAACCGCAACCCGTCTGCACTGAACCGTTTACAACACGAACCGAATTTAAACCGGGATAAAAACTGTTTACACCGAACTGTTAACAAATCGCAACCCGTCTGCACCGAACCGTTTACTACCCGGACTGTTTACAACCCGAACCGAATTTAAAACCGTTCAAGAATAAACCGAAACCGAATCGAACCAATAATTATTTAAATCAAACTGAAATCGACCCGTAAGACATTTGAACCGATTTCAAACCGACCCGATTTCAAATCGAACCGATTTCAAAACCGAACCGAAACCGAACTGTCAAACCGTTTTGACAGTACTGCCTAAACTGGTTCACATTCATTTATTGTGGATCATTAAAAAAGTCAATATGTTAAAATAAATTTATTATGTCAAAATAAAAGTTATTGTTATGTGTGAGATTATTTTGTTTTTAATGAAAGTTTTAATATATTGGTCAATATGAATAATAAAGGTCACTTTGTTAGAATTAAGGTCACTATATTTAATATAACGTCGGATGACACATATATATTTCAGGTTTACAATAATATTAAAAGTCATACAAGTTTTTATCTATTTATTTTGAACACACACAAGTTTTAAATAAAGGTCATTATATTAAATTGAGGGCCACTATGTTTAACATAATGCCACTTATGTACATATGGACCTTAGGTCCACATGCAATACAAGTTTATTTACCCCTTCTAATCCCTAAAATATCAATAAGAAAAATTAAAACTCGTAATGGTTATGCAACCCAGGTTTTACGCAAAATTAAAGTGAAGGAAATTTTGGGATGTTTTCAAGTTTCGGGTTTTTTGGTGTTCAAACTTTGTGGAGAAAAATATAGAGGAGTGAAGATGATACAAGTTGTGAGAAGGGATTGAAGGGTTTTGTTATGTACAAAGGATTAAATAGGGTTTTGTTATTTACAAAGCCACCAAGGATAAAATCTAAAAGTTTGGGATTACTCGGCTAATATTATAGGTTTAACTTTGTTAGGGTAATAGAGATTACTTAGTTTGTTGTAGGTATTATTCTAAGTGTTGTAGGGGTTACTCTGTTAGTGCGTATTAAGGGATTTCTTTGTTTTTTACAAGCGGCCACACAGTGTTGCCAACACAACTGCACAAAAAAACGTGGTGAATGTTTATTCAAAATAAATAAATATCTAGATAAAAAATTAAATAAAAATAAAACAAAAATATATGTAAGGTTAATAACTCAATGTTATCCATTTTGTTCATATAATTTGAAGATTTTATATGTTCATATGCATACAATGAGAAGGAAAAAAAACCTCTCACAGTTGCTAAAACTTAATGTTTTATCTTTTGGCGAATATGTGGATATGCAATTACACAATTATGTTAGGATGCTTCATCATATATGCAACAGAAATAGTGGGTGATTGAGGTATAATAGTAGAAATTAATGTACATAAAAAATTAACATTAACATTATAATAATACTTAGCATAGTGACCAATGTAATAAGTAGAAAGAGATATCTAAAGACATACGGAGTAACAAATACAATACTTATACAAGTAAAAAAAAAAATAATAGTATTTGTCACTCTGTAATCATATTTATTGAGCTTGTCAGGATAAGTTAATTAGGTCAAAGATTTAAAGTGATTTAACACAAGTAATTCATAATTTTATTATGTGAATGAAATTGTAGTACAAACTTATTATATGAAGTCTCGCAATTTTTAACATACTCCTAATTGTACTTGATCTCCAACAATTACTACACATAAGTTGTGTGCAAAAAACTAGAAAAATTACCAAGTGAGTTTCTTTAAAAAAACTGGAAAAATTACCAAAGTGAGTTTCTTTAGTTTAGTATAATGGGACCTGTCACTGCCGTACCACGTATTGGGAGTCGTGTCAGTATCGCCACATCTCGGAGCGTGACGGTGGCCTCCCCAACTGGTAGATGGAAGGAATGAGTCTCCTGTCTCCATCTTTCAAACGAGCGCAGCAATTAGCGGTCGATCTATAGGTGTGAAGGCCATCCTGTGAAATCCGCGAAAACCCACAAAATCGATATAATGTAGTACACGCGGGTCGACGACCCAATCTTCTACCGCCTTGCCAATGTGGTGCCTGCAAAGCAAGAACCACCATGCTTGATCAACCTGTACAACCAACAAAATTACATTGTTAGATCAATTAACATAAAAATTGCCAAAAACATTAAAGATTTGGTAGATGAAAACTTACTGACTGCTCCCATATGTCACGGCTCCGATGGGTGCCCTGAAGTTTCAGGACAGAAGGGTCAGCTGGTCCTGGGTCAGCTCGTGGCGGTCCTTGATCGTGTCCCTCCATGATCTCTGTTCATTGCACAATGTAAAACAAGAAATCAGCTATATCCTAAGTGAAACATACACACACATATTATTAAACTAAGACATAAACTAAGACCAATACCAGTCACCGCCGTTCGTAACAGACAAGTTCTCTTATTGTGTCCTTCCTGATGACAACGACCACATTTGCTTGGTGGACGGTTAGTCTGATCATCCATTTCATTTTGTATACGCTTCGACTTTGGTCGACCATGTCCTCGACCATGTTCTCATCAGGAATGATTTTAGGCCCTCTGTATGTCCTCCACGTCGTCTCACAAGGAATAGGCCAGAAGTGTGGGGCATAAGTATTCATATACGCCTCTGATCGTAGGAAATTGTCCACCCATGGTTCAGTACTTAAGACACACGGCTTGAACATGAGAACACGGTAGGTAAAATATCATAGGCTTGTTGCATGTACATGTTCTCAAATTGAAGTTAACGGTATGCTTATGACCTCCTTTTCTGCCTATCCTGTCTCCCCGGTGTGTTTTTACTTGGTATA